AATGAGTTGAAATTGGTAAATTTCAAAAGAATGCATGTTGATAATGCAGGTTGTTATGTATAATGTGATATGCCTCTTGAAAAGAGATAGGGTTGACCAGTAACGGGTCGGATTGTTTAACATTATATTGTAATATTGTTGGGAATAGAGAAAACTTGTTTTTGATAAACTTGTATTTAATTTCGGGGACGGAATTCTTTAAGGGGGGAAGGTTATAGCGATTCCAGTATCCCCTTTACTGTTCTGTTGCATTCCGGACTCGGTTCCGTGGAGTTGGTAGTTGTGTCTACCTTGTTGTCGTCCTTTAATTCCATTTGATTGAGTTTTAGGATGTGTTGGACATGTTTCGAGCAGGTGGGTTGAGCCTTGGTCTAATTTCTTGTTGCCAGGTTTTTGGTCTTTCTGCTTGAGCGGGTCGTCTAGCGCTCGAGCGAAGATTGCACACTCCCAGTATTTTCGTTGTTTGCAAAACTCCTGCAGGTGTGATTTCTATGCTCGAGCGGATTTCCTGTGCTCGAGCGGGTCGCGCTCGAGCGGGATTGTTGGTGCTCGAGCGGGTAGTACATTTTTTGTGTAAGTTCTGGGAGGGGGAAATCTACGCTCGAGCGGACTGGTTTTCGCACTCGAGCGGATGTACTTTATTCTTGTGTCTTGGAGCTCGAGCGGGCCTTCTTGCGCTCAAGCGGACCTAGTTTTTTGTTCTTGATGCACGAGTGTTGTGTTTTCCGCTCGAGCGGGAATGTCATATATCAGTTGGCTGTGGGGCATTTTTAAATCATTTTCTCTTATTCTCCCTCTCTCTTACTTTTTCGAAAAAGCCATTAGAGAGCACCTCACTCTAAAACTCAAACTTCTCTCTAAGTTTTGATCTAGTGGAAGTTGTTTCCTCACTTTTGGCCTTTGTAAAAGTTGGGTTGATTGTCGAGAGCTACATTTTGATCCGAGAAACTTGTGATTTGGGGCAACTTCGTTTTCGTCATCTTCTTCTGGTGTCATCTTTTGAGGTAGGGATTCCTACTCACTCTTATGATTTTTGACATAGATTTTTGGTTGTTTTGATAAAGTGTTGAAGCTGGATAATTTTGGGACTTAGGGTTTCAAAATGTTAAAAGATGATTTTGTTATTTTGATTCTAAAATGTGTATTGTGGGTTTCAAAATAATGGTATCGTTATTGGTTGTTGATATGTAGACCATTGGGTCAATATTGGGAAATGGGGTAGAAAATCCTAATTGGTAGTATAAATTAATTGGTATGATTAATTGGGGAAAATTGTGGTTATATGGAATTGAGTTGGAAATAATGAAATTGGTTCATTATATAGTAGAATAATGGAGTTAGATTTATTAATCGCTCACTTTTGAAAACATTGATATTTTATCTGTTGGAGCTTTTATTATCTGTTTAGAGATAATTGCTTGGGCTACCGGTGGAGAGTAGTTTTGATTGTTGTAGACAATGCATGATGATTAGGTAAACTAAAACTAATCAATTGGATATGTCATAGAGTATGACGGTTAATAGAATACATTAACGTTATGTATTGATTGATTGTGTATATGACCTATGTATATATACGTTGTGTGTGTGAGAGGAGATAGGGGATGTACTTCACGGTTTAGGGGAAGATAGGGGATGGACCTCTAAACCGATGTTGTTTGGGAGGAGATAAGGAATGGACTCCACTGATACAGCTCATATGCTTGTCAGTTAATGTATTGATACAGCTTACATGCTTATCTATGGAAGTGTTGATACAGCTCATATGCTTATCTTTGGAAGTGTTGATATAGCTAATATGCGTATCTGTTGAAATGTGGATACAGCTTGTATGCTTATCTGTTGAAATGTTGATACAACTAGTATGCTTATCTATTGTAAAATGGGAAACGTTTAATATGAGTCCTGTCTCATATAAGTGGTTGGCCAGGTTCTTAGCCGTTGATGTAAATTGTGAAATTGATAAGAAATGGAAACTGAAATGAAACATGAACATAGTGGTCATGAAATGGAAATGAGTTATGAATTGATTTATGGAAATTGAACATTTATCAATTGCTAATGTCTTAGTTATTGCTCATACTGTGTTTAGCATATTTCTACTGGGCGTTGGCTCACCCTATATGGGACATTATTTTCAAGGACAGGTAGTATGCCACCTCCAAGGACATAGCTTGGATGATGATGAGTAGTTTGGAAGGACTCTTTTTGTTTATTTTGTTTGTATTACTTGTATATCAAGCCAAGGGCTTATTTTGTATAGAGTTAGTACTCTTCTTTTGTGTAACCAGGTGTTGACTTGGAAAGCTGTAAGCCCATAGTGCATTTGCTTTTGTTGTTAACATGTAATACTGTTGTAAGAACTACTCTGATGAATAGAAATAGTTGGTTTCTTTTATATCAATGCATGTCTAAAGTGATGGGTTTTATGTATTTTTTTTAGGGCGTTACACTTAGCAAAAACTAGAGATTTAAATACCTATAAATATTTTCTTCTATAATTAATGTGGGATAGGTGGTTATATACCTTTCCCAATACCTTATTTATGAGGTAAACTTTATAAGACAGTTTATCATTCAAATCATAAGGATTTTTTGTCATTATTTTTGTGATGTAAATATCTCATTGCAAATAATCTAGACCCACTTGAACTCAACTTAACCGGTAGTTGGGATCCACTTTAGGGTTGGTTTGGGAAGTGGGTTGGCTTTTTGACTTTTTAGTTTTTTTGACTTTTTTTATGAAAGAAGAGTATAATGATTATGGGTTGGATGCGATATTTTGTTGGTTGTGGCTAAAATAGCTTATTTTGTCTTTTGTGGCTAAAATAGCCAAAAAAACCTACAAACCTTCTTCCCAAATGGTACAAACCTTAAAATTACCAAAAAAACCATTATTTTCTAACAATAAACTTGGTTAACATTAAACAAAAATCTTATTGTTAAATTTTTTTTGGGCAAATTACACTAACGGTCCCTATAGTTTGAGACTTGTGTCATTTTGGTCCATGATTTTTCAATTGTGACACATTTGTCCCTGAATTTTAAATATTGTTCCAAATAAAGATAATTGAAGATATAATTTTTCAATTTTAATGGTAAAATCGTCAATTTGATAAAATATAAACTAATTTGACAAAGTAAATGTCAAAAAAATATTTCTAAATTTTGAAAAATTATTTTTACCCATCAAAGATAAAATTATGTAAAATTAATAAATCTTTTACATATTTATTTATTTTACCAAATTAATTTTTATTATGTATTTGAATGATGAGCATATAATGGGTGATTGATAGGTTTTTAATGTATAATCGATATATTTAGCCCCCGTTTGGGAAGTGAGTTGGCTTTTTGACTTTTTGGCTTTTTTGACTATATGAGCCTGGGCTCAAAAGCTTAGTTTAGGAAGAGCTTTTGACTTTTTGGCTTTTTTGATTTTTTTGTGAGAGAAGAGTGTAATGATTATGGGGTTGGATGAGATGTTTTGTCTGTTGTGGCTCATGAGCCTATTCTGTCTTTTATGGCTCATTGAGCCGAAAAAGCCCAATGAGCCCTTGCCAAACTAACCTAATATATGAAATGTTTTTAGTTTGGATTTTTTGATTTAATGAATTAGTTTAATAATGATATCAAAGTTGTCGACATATTTAACTTTTGAAAAAAAAAAACTAATTTAATGAAAATAAAAATAACCACCTATTACATAATTTTATATTTGGTGAGTAAAAATAATTTTTAAAAATTTAAAAATATTTGACATTTATTTTTGTCAAATTAATTTATATTTTATTAAATTGACGATTTTGCCTTTGAAATTGAATAATGGTATTTTCAATTGTCCTTATTTAGAACAATATTCAAAATTCATTATCAAATGTGCCGTAATTAAAAAGTTAAGAATCAAAGTAACACGAATCTCAAACTATAGAGACTGTAATATAATTCCCATTATTTATTTTATAACTTTTAATATATAATTAAGAGTGATTTAAATTTGTAAGTTTTACGAATTGACATTTAATCAAATATAATTTTTAATTTAAAGTGCTAAACTAATTTATCGAACACCATCTAAGAAAAACTATTTCTAAAAGTCTTTATCTTAAATTTACTCAACAAGTTATATCAAATAAAAATAAATATTGAAAAAAAAAAATTGTTAATATTTATCATTTTTTTTTTTGAACTGGGTTAAAAATTTATCATTTGGAATTTACAATTCACCTGCTCCACAAACAAAAATATGACAATGAAATCCAACATTCCATGATGAAATTTATGACACCTAATTAAGAGAGTTTTATTAAAGATGTCAATCCTTTTCAAATGGTAATTCTACTTTATTGACTCTCTTTGTGATTCATATTTTTCTCTCATCTTTAATTCAATTTGAGAAAGTTATACTGATAATGTAAATTATTCATATGATGAAAATTGTTAAGTAAATCATTAATGTTAATTATTAAATTAATCAATAATCACTTGAATGGAATATATTTTAAAAAAATAAGGACAAATTACAAACACCACCTCGAAGTTTGGTGAAAATACAAATTCTCCTCTGAGGTTTGAGAAATTACATCCCGCCCCTTGAGGTTTATATCTTCATAACAAATTGCCTTTTGAGATTTTTATTTTTATACAGATTCTTCTCTAATTTTTCCTAATTTGTTATGAAAATTTGACCCTCATGGGATAATTTGTAATTTCTCAAACCTCAGGAAAAAATTTGTATTTTTACTAAATCTCGAGGGGGTGTTTATAATTTGCCCAAAAAATAAAAATAAACGAACTACTAATTATTTTTTGTAAAAAATACAATTTAATTAAATAGCTATTAATATTTAATTAATTTAATATAAATAATTTGTTCAATAGCACTCACAAATTAAATGATTTATAAATGATTAAAGCGAGTACGAGATAACCCGCAATGGGTCCGATCTACATGCCCTTTTTCATACCAATGTCTCTATTTACGACGTTACAACTTATAATAATAGTGTGGACTTAGGGAAGAAGGTTTCCGCATCTCATCAAATGCCAGATGTTTTTTTTACTTTGACAATTGTACGGCTTCGATTTTCCGGCTTCCGAATCTCGCCAACCAACACGGCGAAACACAACACCTACTCTCTCTGTCTCTCATGCCCACTATTTAGCTTTTTTACTGTTGTCTGAATAGAGTTTGTCTCTGTTTCCAACACCCCTCTCTCTCTCTCTCTCTCTCTCTCTCTCTCTCTTTCTGCCGCTAATGGCGGTGTTTTAAAAAAACCTTTTCACTTTCCCTCTTATGAAATCATTTTACATTTTTAAGTATATTATCTCTCATCGCATGAGAATCATCTAGAGTCTACTAGACCCCATTCTCTGTTCTTCTTCTTCGTATGAATAGATGGACAAACTGAAAAAGTCCTTCAAATCAATCCATGATCAAAAGCAAACCCCCCAAAACCACTCCTCTGAAGACCCCCGTCTCATCTTGCTTCAACAGCAAGACGATCCGATGGCTCAGAGCCACCGCAAAGAAGTCATCGTCAAAATTAACGCCCCAGACACTCCTAAAGAGACGGAGCTCACTTCCCATTCACCGTCACCGTCTCCGTCACCTCCGGCGCCACATTCCGGTAAGAGTGGAAACGGAATATGGAGAGACTCGAGCTACGATTTCTCCAACGACGCGACTAAAGTCTCCAAAGAGTTCGAGTTCGGCACCGAGTCGCCTCTCTCTCAGTGCTCGCGACCCGGTTTGTCGAAGATCGCGGAGAGTCCGAGTCACGGCCAGTTCACGCCGAGGGAAGTTAGGGTTTCGTTTAACGAAGGTACTTCCGAACCGGTTCAGCGCCGGTCCAATGTCAGCGGCGGCGTCCGTGGCGCCGCCGCCGAAGACGAGGTGTTGGTTTGTAGTTCCAACTCTTCGTTTCGCCGGAAATCGAGTTTGTTGAATGCGAAGACGAAGTCGAGACTGATGGACCCGCCGGAGCAAGATCAGAGATCTCAGAGGATGATGAAATCTGGGTTTTTGGGTAGAAGCAGTGAAATCGACGAGGACGATCCATTTTTGGATGAAGATTTGCCTGAAGAGTACAAGATGATGAAGTTCAGTACATGGTCTGTGATTCAATTGGTGAGTTTGATTTTGATTATTGCTGCTTTAGCTTGTACCCTTGCAATTCCCAGATTTAGGAAGAAAAGATTGTTCGAACTTGAATTGTGGAAATGGGAACTCATGATTTTGGTTCTGATCTCGGGTCGATTAGTCTCTGGTTGGGCTATTCGCATTGTTGTGTTCTTCATTGAGCGCAATTTTCTGTTGCGAAAGAGGGTTTTGTATTTCGTGTATGGGGTTAGGAATGCTGTTCAGAATTGCATTTGGTTGAGTCTTGTCTTGATTGCTTGGCAATGTATTTTTGACAAAAGGGTTGAGAGAGTGACTAATAGGCAGGTCTTGCCTTTTGTAACTAGGATTTGGATTTGTCTTTTGGTGGGTACATTGATATGGCTTCTCAAAACTCTTCTTCTTAAAGTTCTCGCTTCGTCTTTCCATGTGAGCACGTTTTTCGATCGAATTCAGGAGTCTTTGTTCAATCAGTATGTGATTGAGACACTGTCTGGTCCTCCATTGATTGAGATTCAGCAAGAACAGGAAGAGGAAGAGAAGGTCATGGCTGAAGTTGAGAAATTACAGAATGCTGGGGCAACTATGCCCGCTGATCTCAGGGCGAATGTGTTTCCGAGGAGTGGGAAAGTGATAGGGAGTGGGAGACACCAGAAGAGCCCTAAGCTCGGGAAGAGTCCCAGATTTTCTAGTGCTACTACGCCGCAGAAGCAAGATGAAGGTATCACAATCGATCACTTGCACAGGCTGAACCAGAAGAACGTTTCCGCTTGGAATATGAAGAGGTTGATGAATAGTGTTCGAAAAGGGTTCTTATCAACTTTGGACGAGCAAATCCAAGATTCAACTGGCCAGGATGAGTCTGCTGTTCAGATCACAAGCGAATGCCAGGCAAAAGCTGCAGCCAAGAAGATATTCTACAACGTGGCTAAGCCAATGTCCAAGTAAGCTTTTATCTCTTTGCCCAATCATGACATGAGCTTTCTTTCTTCACTTGATTGATTTGAATCGTGGCCTTCAAAATTTTTTATTTAAATTCATTCACGGGGTTATATTTATATAGAATAGTGATTACCTACTCTAAAAGCGAATTCAGTTGTTCTATAGTTATGCCTTTCTGTGTGCATAAGAAGGTCTTGTGTAATTGGGTAGAACAGAGCAAAAGAGTAATTGCAGCTACACATATCATTGTTTTCTAGCATTCTAGTGTGCATCAACATACCTTAGAGCTACTGAATTGAAAGTAGAAGATGGTACCTATTGCAGCTTAGGTTTTGAATATATCATATGGTTTTATTGCCAAAGTAGGTGCACCATTTCAATAATCACAGTCTGGTTTTATGCACATATTCTATATTTGGTTTGTTCGCATGTATTTGCTATGTCTGAATGGTTTGCCTGGTTTGCCTGTTGTTGCCAGATACATCTGCCTGGAGGATCTGATGCGCTTTTTGAGAGACGACGAGGCTTTGAAGACTATGCGTCTCTTTGAAGGAGCAAGTGAAGGCAAAGGAATCAGCAAGCGAGCTTTGAAGAATTGGGTGGTAAATGTTACCTTCATTTCTTTTTATCCTGGTTGATAGTTGATAATAATTTCTATAGTCCTGTATCCTGTGTCCATGCTTATATGAACTTTTGATGGCCCTCTCTTGCTTTTGTTGGTCAAGACATTTCATTTAGAATATTACTTAAGAGTGATGAGAAATCAGATTTATGCAAAAGCTAAGTTCATAGCAGTGTTTTTAAAGGCTCAAGGCGCACTAAGGCGCTGAAGGTCTCTCGGGGCCTAGGCGTAAGGCGAGGCGAGAGCTTTATTGAAGTAAGGCGCACAGTCTTAGTAAAAAATAGAAAAATTAACATAGACTAATCATTCATAGTACTAAGACAATTTTTTTAAAAATAAAAAGTAATTAAGATTCAAGACAAAATATAGAATAATTTTCAAAGCTATGAAAGTACATATTATATAATATTTCAATTTTCAAAGATAAAATAATCCACATTTATAAGTGATTAATTGTGTAATGTAATGGAAAATTAATTAATACAATGTAATGCATAGTGTATTAATTAATTGTGTAATGTAATGGAAATTAATTAATACAATTGTGTAATGCATAGTGTATTAATTAATGAAAAATTAATTAATACAATGTAATGAAAAATAATGTAATAACGTGTCAATTTAAAAAATAATTAATGTAATGTAATGTGTCAATTTAGAAAATAATGTAATGTAAAAAAAATAGAGACCAATAGCAATGTGTTAATTAATTATTTGTAAAAAAAAAATTATTTTGTATTTCTTTAACAGAGTACAAAGGCATAAATAATTGAGAAAAAAATATTTATTTTGTATTTATTTTAAAAAATCTTTATTTTGTTAAAATATTTAATTGACAAAGACATAAATATTTTGTATTTATTTTTTTTGTTTTAACAGAGACTCAAAGCCATAAATAATTGAAAAAAAAAAAAAAAACAGAGCAGAGCAGATGATCAGCGAAGAAGAGAGAAGAAGGAGAGAAGAAGAAGGAGAAAAAATAAATAAAATGAAGACTGATCAAACGATCGAAGTCGAAGGAGGGCGAGAGGGAGACGATCGAAGTCGAAGAAGGCAGAAGGGGAGAGAGAGAGAGTGTAGCGCACCTGGAAGTTGAAGTCGAAGTCGAAGTCGTAGCCCCCCAGTCGAAGTCAAATCGAAGTCGAGAGACGAACAGACGACACAAAGTCGAATCGAAGTCGAGAGACGAAGAGACAATCGTTAGATCAAAGATTAGGGTGTAAACATCAGTCGCGCCTAGGCGCGAGCCTTGCGCCTCTCTCGCCTGCTTCCAGTCGCGCCTAAGGCGCGTGACTTCTTCAACGTGCCTCGCCTGGGACCAGTTCAGGCGCACAGGTTGAGCCTCGATGTGCCTTGCGCCTAGGCGCACTTTTAACAACACTGGTTCATAGTACCAAGACTTGGATGGATGGACATATTATATTTTTATCAAAGTCTAACCTTATATGAATGAGTAAAATAAATGATCAATATGGCGTTAGGTTTGTGTGACAGAAACACCAAGGACAATATTTTGGAGGTAGGAATTGAAATCATACTGTGGAGATAGGAGTTAAAATCACACCCAGTGTGTTAAGAATGCAAATGAATTGTCACAATCCACCATCCACACTAGATACATTCGTCATGCAAATAATAGAGATGTCTTACTCCAAGAGCCACTACTACTTGAAGAGTCTTAGAAATTGTCATTTTCTTCCCTCAGATGATCAAAGACTAAACCTGGTTCAATCAGTTGTTATAAAGTTGAAAAATTATATTCTTCAAGATGATTACACGGCAGGATCGACTTTCAGAATGTCTTATATGAATTATGTTTGATGAAAAATGGACTACTGCATATCTTTCTTTTCTTTTCTTTTTTTGTTTTCTTCCTCAGGTTAATGTATTCAGAGAACGGAGGGCATTGGCATTGTCTCTCAACGATACAAAAACAGCAGTGAACAAACTCCACCAAATGTTGAACGTTGCTGTAGGAATTGTCATAGTGGTCATCTGGCTTCTAATACTCAAAATTACAAGTACCCATTTTTTTGTTTTTTTAGGCTCCCAGCTGCTTTTGGTGGCGTTTATGTTTGGAAACACATGCAAGACAACTTTTGAGGCCATTATCTTCTTGTTTGTGATGCACCCATTTGATGTGGGTGATCGTTGTGAAATAGATGGAGTTCAGGTAATCAAAATCCTAGTTTATAGCTGTGATTGTATCTTTCATATGCTGCTATGTAAAACACGTTTATATTCTATGTTCGAGGTTGTAAATTCTAGCTTCTTTTTTTCTTCTCTCTCTCTCTGTCAGATGGTGGTTGAAGAGATGAATATACTAACTACTATTTTTCTGAGGTTTGATAACCAAAAGATCATATATCCCAACAGCGTTCTAGCTACCAAACCCATCAGCAATTACTACCGTAGTCCAGATATGGGAGATTCAATTGATTTCTGTATCCACATTGCCACTCCCATGGACAAGATTGCTCTGATGAAAGAGAGAATAACCCGGTATGTATATGGAGATTCATCCTCACTCTCGGAAACTTTTTCTCATTCTAGTCATCAATGTCTAAAATATATCATCATCTATCTGATGTTTTGTCTGTTAATTGTAGGTACATTGAAAACAAGAGTGACCATTGGTACCCAGATCCAATGATAGTCCTGAGAGATGTAGAGGACATGAATAGGCTGAAAATATCGGTGTGGCTGTCGCATAGGATGAATCATCAGGACATGGGTGAGAGGTGGGCGAGGCGAGCTCTTTTGGTGGAGGAGATGATAAAAACATTCAGAGACCTCGATATTGAATACCGAATGTTGCCTCTTGATGTCAATGTCCGCAACATGCCGGCCATAGCTTCAAGCAGACTTCCCTCAAATTGGACTACATGTGCCAACTGATCAGAGACATGAAGATAGGCTTTTTTCGCCAAATGCGGGGGCTTTTTAAATCAAAATTCTCAAATTCAAACAGTTCTAAACTTATTTTTCAAACCCAACTAGTTTTATGAAATCGTGTTTTCAAAAGGCGACTTTAAGATTAAAGTCAGTGTTTTGAAAACATGATGCGTGAAACAACTTGTGTGTTTGAGTAATAAGTTTAAATCTGCTTGGATTTGAGAATTTTTTTTTAAAACAACCTAAAATTGGCATTTAAAAAAAAAATACTCCACATGGAGAAAGAGCTACCAGGGGAGGGAAGTACTGAAACAGGCAAGAGAACCTCAAGAGATTTCGGTGAGTGTTTTTAAGGTAGTGATCATTTGGACACATATGGAAAGGGAATAATTTATTTATACGATGATGTTGAATGTTGATGTGCACATGCAGTTTCAAAAACTATAATATAGATGTGATAGTTATTAATGTATATACAACTGTGTTTTTTTGGTTTTTGTTCGGTGAACTAGGTTTTGAATAATTTTATATGTACTAATTAGTGTATCAATTGATGATGTGACATAATTTAAGATGTTTTTGATATTTGTAATTTGTATAATGAGTGAAGTTAATAATAATATCATAACTGATGTTGGTATACAAGTTAGTACACTAATTGATATAAGTAACACTACTGTTAAATTTTATACTATAATATCGTGGACAAGTCATGAACAGTGTAGCAGGTGTCTCCCAGGTGTCATTAATCATCACAAGCATTGAGAGAAATAAATGGCTATATGTAACAGGTGTCCCGGAAGTATCAAACATCATAAGCATTGTGAGTAAATAAATTACTACATTAAAAGAGGGTTGTTATATATTATTAAACTATGACCATACTGAATTTGAGTGTTGTTGTGCTATGCAATTAGAATAGCACAATAACACCGACAACCCAGGAAACAAAACGGTAATGATTGGTGGTCATAAATTTTACGGTTCAAATGGTTTGAAAATGTCAAAATGATATCGTTTTGGGTATAAAATAACTCCGAAAATGTCAAAACGACGAGTCACATAATTTGTGGCCACCAAATATTTTTCGGAAATAAAATTGATGCTTCAAACGAAAGAATTTAAATTTACGATTGGTCAGACTCTGAATTTTCTCGTTGGGTAGTTTTCAATCTTATATGAAGGTGACTCAAAGTCATGGTGGCTTAACTATTTGAAGTGTTGAAGACAATAAAGACTTTTTCGTGTTTAAATTTTGATCATAATTTTAAATATTTTATTTTCAATTAAAATTAAATTTTATTCTTTTTGTGATGAAAAATTATTAATGAAGCTTTTGTAATTAAGTTTTTTTAACCTATTTTTTAGAATTAATAAAATGGTTAATTTACTTTTTTTTTTTTGTGTGGTGACAATCGATTTTATGTAATATTTTATCAACTCTAATTAATTTTTTTGGAGTAAATTACAAATACACTACCTAAGATTTGCTTGAAATACGAATTGCCTCTTATGATTTGGAAAATTACAAATATCTCCCCGTCAGAATTTTTTATTTAACAGAATTAATTTAAAAAGTAAAATTTTTAACTGTTCACCTATACAATAATAAAATTATCTGAATTATTAATTGAAATAAAATTTTAATCTTATTAAAAATTGTTAATTAACTTGATGATTTATTAATAAAAGGACTTATTTGTTATGAAATTAGAAACTTTAGGGGGCATAATGTAATTTCTAGAATACAAGGGCAATTTGTAATTTAAGTAAATCTCATGGGGTGAGTTTGTAATTTATTCATTTTTTAGGTAGAAGCAATTGTTGCTAGTATTATTATAACTAGCAGTTGACCTATGCAATGGACGTGTGATTTTTTTTTTTTTAAATATTTGATAGTAGAATGTGCGTTATAAAAGAAAAATTTTCATTTTAAATTAAAATGAAAGTATGATTTTAATTATTTATTTTGATAATATTGGCGCTATCGTTATATAAAATTGTTACTTTAATAGTTATATAAATATTTTGATAATTTTAATTCTATCTTATTATAAAAATATAATTATCATATAATAATTTTGTATGATATATATTAAATTATAAAATAATAAAATAAATACTCATTTTGATATTAAAAATAATAGTTAAATTAAAAGAAAAATTAGTAACATAAAATTAAAAATAATTCTAACTATTTCATTTTCTTTTATATTCATTTAGAAAATAAAAGTATATAGAAATAGAAGTTATATAAAATTTATTAAAAATTTTAAATATAAATATGTTGTAATTGAATTATCATATAATGATTTTATATTGAGAAAATTAGTCTAAAGTCTCTCTTCCATTTTTAGTAATGGAAAAGATCCATAATATTATTTTATAATGTCTAAAGTCTCTCAATCCCACACCCATACATCACAGAGAAATTTGACTCTCTTAAATCAAACCTCATCTGTCTCTCTCTACCTTCCCTATTTCATCTCTCTCTAAATCCAAACCTCTTCACTCCCATCAATGCACTTCTAGATCTCAAGACTTCAATCCAAACCTAAACCCAGATTTAGAATCCTCCAAATCAGAGACCCATCAAAATTCTCAAAAAAACTCATTTATCAAAAAATAATTCGAGGAGTCTAGACGAGGTCTATTATCATCACGTGAACATGACCAAGTCCGACACCAACCTCACCTCTGGTGAGTTGTCGAAGAAGCTTTCGGCGAAGGTTCGGAAGTCGGCGAGCTCCAAGTCGACTTTTATGTACTTCAAAGAGGGCAAAGTCGTGATGGCTCACCGTTCGGCGAAGGTAAAGGAGGGTAGAGTCTCGACGAAGGCTGTAGAAGATAAACATGTTGATGCGAAGGCTGATGATTTCATCAACAGGTTCAAGCAACAGTTGAAGTTGTAGAGACTAGACTCCATTATAAGGTATAAGGATATGATCAGCAAAAGGGGTGCAAAGTAAGTGTCTTGATTTCCTGGGGGTTGTTTTTTTTTTTATTTTTGTTAAGTTTTGAGGTTAATCAAGTCTGTTGATATGTGATGGCGATGAATGTGTTAATTTTGAAGAATTCAAGAAGATGATGAAGTCTTGAGTTAAGAATTTTCTCTAGGAAGTCAAGAATTTCTCTGGAGAGTGGAAAGTTTAGAGAAATTCCTCCTATCTCTGGAAAAAAAAAGATGATGAAGGCTTGAGTTAGGAATTTCTCTGGGAATCAACGTGACTTCCATTCACCTTCTATGTGTGTCACAACCCAAATCCACCCCTATAGGTTTAGTGTCATAACTGGCCAGTAATCCTTGGATTACCAAAGGCCTCTAAACAAAATATCTCGTAATAAGGGGTATATATATATATATATATATAACATACATAGTCCATCAAGCTGTGCAAACATATATGAGACAGGTAATTTTAAACTTAAAAGCATACATGTGACGTCATAAAGATACAGTAATTACACGTCACCCATATACAGATAAACAAAAATTTGATCGTAAACCAAAAGAAACAAAGTCTTAAACATTCATAAAACATGGGCACGAGACTTGACTTAATCTGGAACCTCCTTGGGAGGCACAAAAGGGTGACTGACAAACACAAAACTCTTCAAGCATTCCCTTAAGCCTGGTTGCGCGCCTGCTCACCTACATACATAATAATAAATGGTAAACGAAAGCCCAGTGAATAATAACGGAGTAAAGGGTTAGATGAATGATGTCCCAAAACCAATTCAGAAATCAGAGTTCATGCTTGATTTTACGTTCGTATTCTTGTTCAAATCATATATAGAAATATGAGTTCATACTTAATTTTACGTCCGTTAGCGCTACAGAGCACATACAAAACATCAAAGGTCATACTTGTCAATTCCATAAAGGAACCTCCGGTCGGGTACAGATAACTTGTCAGTTCTTTAAAGGAACTTCCGAAAACGGATAACTTGTTAGTTACATAAAGGAACCTCCAGCCGGGTTCAGATAACTTGTCAGTTTCTTAAAGGAACCTCTGGATTGGGAATAGATAACTTGTTAGTTCTATAAATGAACCTCCAGCCGGGTTTAGATAACTTGTTAGTTCCATAAAGGAACCTCCGAACTGGGAACAGATAACATACCTGTACCATAGAATTGTTGCCACGAATATTTGTCAAAATTGGACAATCATCATAGTACAAACAAAACATTTCATGGAACAAATCTTATTCCATATACAGAAAATAAGTAAAGTTGAACATAGCTTTATTAAGTTATTACTCACAGTTGGCTCCAAAGCAAACAAACGGAGTAGGCAAATCAGATATCTTATGGCGCGTGACCTACACAGATACAGAACGAATACATACTGAATTATACACCCGAAAATCATTAACTTAGTTATTTCTTTACTTGGTGTGTTTCTACTTTTTATCCTCATTATTATGTCTTAATCTCGGCGTAGGAATGCCTAGGATGCAATGAGGATACTAAATGCCCTTGGAAATAGTTAATAAATTTTGCTGAAAACAGGGGTCCCACTCGAGCATAACTTCATTCGCTCGAGCGGACATACAAAATGTGAGTAATTGCTCGAGCGCAACTTCTGTCACTCGAGCGGCCTATAAACTCTACAAAAGTACTGGTTGCTTGATTTTTTTGCTCGGCGCTCACTCGAGTGTGAGACTCATGCCTCCGTTTAAGCGCAACTCTTGTTGCTCGAGCAGTCTGCAAAACATGTAAACTTCTGGGAGAATGCATTTTACGCTTAAGCCACCTTTTGGTCACTCGAGCGAAGGTGCAAAACACAAAAAGGTCACTCGAGCGCAGGTTCTGTTGCTCGAGCGGAGAAGCAAAATCTGGAATTTCCAGATTGCTGTACATGATGCAAACTTCAAATTCAAAGCCTCAAAACTCATCATTTGGACCAAAAAGTTGAGAAAACACTTGGAAACTTGTAAAACATCATGGATTAAGAATCAATACTCAAAATCAAAGCCCAAAAGTAAGTGGATTCTTCGAATTCAAACGTGAATTATGTATATACATAGCATGCATATATTGATTTGGGTTCAAAACTTCCAAAACATAATCAAATGAGGTCCAATGGTGAAAAATGTTATGAATTAGTAAAACCATGTTATAATTACCACATGCAAAAGAGAAAAGCTCCATGAAATGTACATGCATGCATGAGATGCTCTTCTTTTCTACTTCCTAGTTCAATTCTTGCTTAACTTAGCATACTTCTCTAGAATTCACGTATGGAACAACTTAAACTCAAACCTAAAGGTTGAATTCTTACAGTAGATGTTCAATTATGCTCTAGAATGCTAATTCTTTGAGCTTGAAGGCCAAATGTCTAAGGTTCCTCCCAAATGCTAGCAATTATTTACTTAATCTCAACTTTCCCCTTTTCTCTCTCTCTCACGTTAGTTTGTTGTGTAGGTTCAAAGATGTGATGAAGAAAAAGATGAATGGTGGTACAAAGGAGCCTTATATAGGCTTAATTAAGAAGACTTAAATAAACTTGGCTTAAATTAAGTAAATGGGTCATATTTATTCT